ATATATATGTTGGGAGGTGGGGTTGTGCACTACAGGACTCTGTGACACAGCCTAAGCTTTAGTTCGTAATAGTTTTATTCTTTGCATTACTTTTACGTTTACTTTTATACTTAAAGTAGTTATAAAACAAGTATTTTTAAAGTTTTACTTGAGTAAAAATCTTGAGTTCAACTTTCACAGAAGTATTTTTAAACTGTATCTATTCTTCTGTCACAGTCTGTGTTTGTTTGTTTTTTGGTTTTTCTAGTGTTTCAGTGTTCCCCTGTGTTTCTCTGCCCTGCAGCCCGGCCCACAATCACCTGTTTCCTCTTGTGTCTCCTCCAGGTGTTTCTCATTTGTCCTCATTAGGTTTCCTTTATATTTGGTGTCTTGTCCTCAGTTGTACTGTTTTCAGTCAGTGTGGTTGTCCTCCATGTTCCCTGAGACTGTTTGGAAGTTTTGTTGCCACGACAGCCCTTCTTATTTTATTAAACTTTATTTGAACTTTGGATTTTGCCTGCGTCCTGGGTCATTCTGCCTCAACCTCACAACGTCTATTTGAGTAATGAGTGTAAATACTTTTGACACCTCTGTAAACAATGAGTACAATAACGATTATTGAAACTAATAATTCCTGAGGGAATGCATATTGTCTCCAATTGTCTGCAGGTAAAAGATTTAATCAAAAATCTGGTTGAGCTCATAGTATGTGTTACAGATGACTCTCAGCTACTTGCAAACTGAGCTCAATCTCTAAAATTTTAGTGTTTTATAACCGTTTTTGTGTTGGCCAATGTCCTTTGGCTTTGTAACAAGCTGACTTTAAAAGTGGATGTACATCTAATATTAACTTCTTTAAAATTGTATTAAAGCCCGTTCAGTGTTTCATGGGTTATTTTACTAACAGACAGGGTTGACTCCTTTAGTTAATGCTAAAAGTTTTAAACAAAGATCTGGTGCTATCTGTTTGCACTCAGAGTATGTATTGGGGATGATTATGAGCTACTACCACACCAAAGTTGAGCTCATTTCCTTAAAATTAACAGCTTGACAGTTTCGTGTCTAAGATTAAATAACTGTGGCAGCCCTCTTGAATGTACGTTTAGTGATTAGTTTGTGAAAGTTTTAATAAACCCTGTCCACATGAGGTGTTTTGCTAATAGACAAACACGTCTACACTCAGAAAGGCAATTATTTGTTTGTTCATCTTTTTTGGTGGTAGGTAATAAAATCAGTTGAATAATCAGGTTAACAGCCATAATGCATGGTATCTGTTAAAAAATCGTGATGATAAGACGACTCTTTGGAATTCCTACCTGAAGGAACTGCTGAGTCAGGTCTTGATGGCATGACTTAGTCTTCAGCAGAGTCCTGTTCACTGTAGCAGAGCCCTTTTGCAACACTTGCCTGGCCTGACTGAGAGTGAGTGTGGACCAAGCGCCTCTCTTTACCACCATGTCATCCTTGCTCCCCCTGGTCCTGAGCTCTTCCTCCTTGGCTCCCACCTGCACTGACGGACATGCCAGGAACTTGAGGTCACTGCTGCTTTTTGAGGTCTTGAGAGAATGAGCAGAAATGGTGTTGTAGCCCTGTGGGATATGTCTGAGAGCCGTCTGGCTGTCTGACACCGCTCTGCTGAGGGTCATCATGCTCAACGGGTTGCGGTAACCGACAGCTATAGTGCCAGCTTTGATAGCGTCAGTGTCCAGGGTGTCATCTGAGCTCCAGAGGCTTAACGTGTTCGGTCTAGCTTTGTGTTTGGGTTCTTCGGTCTTAGCCCTGTCTTTACTCTTGCTCCTGCGGCTTTGCCTCCCTCCATCCTCACTCCCCGCAGCAGAGTTTATGCTCCCTTTCAAAGCAGAGTTTTCCAACGACTGCGACTTGGCGAACAGCTTCTGGACGGAGTGCATGAGATGGCGTATCCGTCCTGGACTCTCGCTGCGCTGCTTGGACATGCGTCCTCTGTGGAACTGCAGCGTGCTGAAGCCGTCTCGCTGCAGAGGGAGGTGCCTCTCGAGCTGATCCAAAAGGCTGGAGGGTAAGCGGTTCATCTTGGCCGCTGCTGCAGAGGAGATGGTGGCAGATCCGCTTGTGATCATCGGCGCGCCGGTCAGACCTAGACCCAATCCCATCCCCATGGACAAGGAGGTGGACAGAGTACCTGCCCTGCTGCCCTGTCCAACTCCACCGCCAGCCATGCAGGCCTGGGTGCAGTCGATCTGGTCAGCCTGGGGGGTAATGTGCAGGCGGGGGAAAGTGCTGCTGTTGGGAATCTGGCTGAAGGGCAGCAGGCATTCAGGGGTTAGGGAGGTGGGACTGGTGGGAGTGTAGTGGTGGAGATGTGGGTCCAGAGTGCCATAGTGGTTTATTGTAGGACTCAACAGGAAGGCGCCGTGAGGGTCAGATGCCAAGGGACATAATGGCTTCTGAGGGCACCCTGTCGGTTCACATGAGTCAGACAGGTGACGACTTCGGCTGGCTCCTAACCCTTTCATGATGACGGATGTGACGTGCTCAGAACATGTCTCCAATCAGTGAGGGTCTACTGACCTGTAGAGGCTTCACCTGCAACACAGCAAAGAGGAAAACACAAAGAACAAGATGTGTTAAACACAAGGTTCAAGGGTTTTTGTTAAGGCTTCACAGTTTGGTGGTTGGATTGAAGCTTTAACAAAACTTTTAGCACTTGTCCTTGTTTCTCCTCCAATTCTCTTTCGCTGAATATTTATTAAGAACATACCTTTGTCTCTTTCACTTGCAACTAACCATGCATGCAGAACAGCTACAGAACCATTTGTGTGCAATTTAAAATCGAATAGTGGCAACTTTGCATGCCTAAATTTAAAACCAGTGACTTAAAAGCCAATTTAAAAATGTCTTTCTTCTCATGTGTCCTTGAATTTTCTGAGTAGTAATTAAAGTAGAAAAAAGAAATCACTCATTATCTCTGTTTTGTGGTGCTTTTTACAGAGGCAGCAGAGCAGAGCTGCTGTTGTAAATATCAAGTTCAGAGTTGTTCAAGTCGTCAAACCAGCAGGGGGTGCAGAAGCAGCAACACACACACACACACACACACACACACACACACACACACACACACACACACACACACACACACTTGAAAACACACAGATGTATGCACTACCATTCAAAGTGTAAAACTGGTTTTCTGGAATGTTACCAAAACAGGACATCTGCATCACATACTGTAGTACGTGGAGAATTATAGACAACATACTTTTGTTTTGAAATATTTTAGCCAAAATATTATATTTTAATGGACTTTCTTTAACAAAACTGCTAAGAAGAGGGGCTCTATCACAGAAAATAGTTGTTAGAAAGGTTTGACCAAAATCTTATTTCAACATTAGATCATTTCTGCATGAAAGGTGGCACTGGCAGACAATGTGCAGGGGCGGAGCAAAACATTTTTTGCAAAGGGTGACCAAGGCTTATTTTAGGAGGGGGCACATACAGTAAAACATAAAGTAACTACTCTAGATTTGAATACTGAAGGCCTATTGAGTTGAAATTTGGTGTAGTGGGTGCTGCGATATCCAACGTAATAATAGTGTCAAAACATAAATTTAACTTGGCAGTACCCACCAATGTTTCATAAAGAACACGTCTAGTTGCTCCATTCTATTACTATGTTACAGACTTACCTCTAGATCAGGGCTATTCAACTAAATTGCTCCGGGGCCCACAGTTACTGCAGGTCAACTGCTCAGGGGCAGAACATCCAGCAATTAAAGTCACTATGGTAATAAACCAAGTAAGCCAAGTGGGCCACATCTGGCCTGCGGGCCACCAGTTGAATAGCCCTGCTCTAGATGTTGATACACCCTGAACTGTTACACACAATTGTTGTTTTCTTTACCTGTGTGTTTTACAGTGATGTTTTTGATTAAAAAAAGAGTTTAAAACCTTTACAATCTGCATCATTCTACTAAACACACGAGCAGCAGAGCCATGCAAATAAAAAAAATTTATTACAGACAACATCACTTATTATTCTCAACAAATGGGACAATCCATTCAGTTTATTGTATGAAATGCTTCAGCGGCAAAAGAAACCAGACAGCCTTGAGGCCCAATATTATAAGACATCATGATGATGCACGGCTCTGAGGCGCCGCGCTGAAAATGCACAGAGGAGCTACTTATGACTCATACATGTAAATGAGCTTTATATTTAAGAGGAGCTTATTTTTCACAGTGTAGAATATGGTCCCTCATTTCCACAAACCTTTTTTTTGGTTTTTTGCCATCTACTCAAATCTACTTATAGTGCCATGAATTGTGAATCCTTCCTCTCTAACCATGAGGAGCAATAAGTCTTCCCTAATGCTTACTAATAGAGAAATCCTGAGGCAGGCAAAAATATCCTTTGGTTCTATTTTTGTTTCATTTGCTGTCGGCACAAGTCAGAAAATACAGATTTTGGTCTGAAATCAAAACTTTAAAATCCTGTAGTGTCAGAATCTATATATACAGGACCAGCTTAATATTTTTAGATAACAGTAAATCTAGTTTTCAGTGATGATCAATACAAAGAATTTAAAGGTTTTCTAGATGGCTAACCAGTGTTTTTTAAAGGAAGATCTATTGGCCACTGTCTTTTGTGCCAGAGTTTTTAACTACGATCATTTTACGTTGAGAACTGATAAAATTGTTGCCATTTTATTCAACCTGAAAATGACATTATGTGTGATTGCATGCAATATTAAGATATATTACATGCTCTCACTTCATATAGTAGTGCTTATGTGTTAAGGCTGATGATCAGCTACTACAACCCTAACTTATAGCCTATCTGTAAAATTGTCTGAGTTGTAGCCATCTTTGTATCCGGTAAGGTTAATCAGCTGTATGGCAGAAATCTTGATTTAGCTCATTAGTTAATGAGATATTTTGCTAACAGACAAAAAGTGTCACTTTACATGAAGTAAGTGTTGTGAATGACTCAGTGGCGTCTACACCAAATATTACCTCAATATCTGTAAAAATCACTGTTATAGCTCTATGTTTGTATTTGCTAATGCTAATTAACTGTGGTGGCCAGAACTGTCACTAGTTAATAACTTACTTCCAATAATTACTTTTAGAGAGTTCATTTCAAATCTTCCAACTGGTTCATAAGAAATTTTGTTAATAAACAGACAAGATGACACCAACAGTTTAAACAAAAAAGTTGTGCAATGTGTAGCGCTCGACACATTTGTTAAGGATAATCCTCAGCTACTAACATATCAAATTTTAAAGTGCCTGTGACATAATTTTTTATAATAAATATGAATGCATTTTTAGAAAAATAACATTAACATCACATGACAACAAACATTTCCCATTGCTGAGATGAACAGTTGTTAAAATATTCAAATGTGAAGAAACAGGAAGTGATGTCAAAGGGGAATATTTTGCTACAAAAGCTAACAACACAAACTGTAGAGATCTGGGCCTGTATTTATCAAACTTCTTAGAATTACTCTTAAGAATGCTGCTAAGAATGGACTTAAGTGTAAATAAATTCTTAGTTAAAAGCTGAGAGTAAAAGTCAGTTATCAAATGTCTCAATTTTACTTTAAGTGAAGTGAAGTTTAGGAGTAATTCTTAAGTGTCAGTCTTAGAGCTGATTTGCGACACCTGTCTGTGTCGCAAAGAAGATCCTGGATGATTTCATTGGAATCAAGAATATTGTCAGACAACACCCGCTTCATGCATGCAGAGGAGCACACAACCCCGTTCTGTCAGTAACATCCAGAGGTCTGTAAAGTACTTGAAAATAATAACTAAGTAAAAGTAAAAATACCTTAACAGAAAATGACTTTGGTAAAAATAAATGTTACTGATGAGAAAACTACTTAAGTAAAAGTCATAAAACTGTTTACAAAAATTGAGAAAGTAGAAGTAAAAGTAAAACTTTTCCACGCTCTCTAACAACCTGTTAAATTTACAGAACCAAACTGGCTCCACAAAACCAAGTTTATTAAATTGGTCAATTTCTTTAAAATATAATACTGTATGTATACCACCTCAAATTTACTTCGGTTTAGTGGAAATAGTTGACATGATTTAGTTGAGTAAATTCAACACTCAATTTTTTTTAGCACATAAACAACTCCTTTCATGTTGAGTCAGACAGATTTAATTTATAACTAGGTGTTAAACTTTAAAGTAAAGAAGTAAAAGTATTATTTTTAGGTTTTAAAAGTAACAAAGTAAAAGTAAAAGTCACAACTTAAAAAAAATACTTGGTAAAATTACAAATCCTCAAAAAAATTAGTTAAGTACTGTAAATGTACTAACATCTAAGAAATTTTCAACACTTAAGTCTAAAATTCCACTCTAAGAACTTCGATAAATACGGGCCCTGGTGTTTTTATAGAAGAGTTTGAGTGTTTGAGTTCAAATAATATTGTTTCAATAAACAAAAGGTCATAGAAATCCTTTTCTTGCCAGATTTGTGGCCAAACTTCAGATACTGGAATGAAGATTCCAGCTAGGAGGGGGGGGTGTACAGCAGCAGGAAAAGTTTCCTAGGAGCTCTGTGCTGTGTGTTTCATGAACTATTAAAGGTGTGCAAAAACTAAAGTCTCGGCACCACATGACCAGTGAGATTTGTATTTTTGGCTTTGGATTGAATATGCTGATGCTTACTTCTAAATGTTAATCAAATGTAGATAACATTTGTTAACTAATTCATGAGAAACACAGAGATGTAGGCAAAACCATTATTACCTCTTGCACTCAGTGGCTGGTGATAAACGTGTTTCCCCCTGTTGCCTCAGCATCAAAGTTCAAGTAAAATTATGGAAAAATGTTTTTTAAATTTGAGGTATTTTCTCTCATATTTCTCTATCATAATGTTTCACATTCTCCAAGCTGACTTTGAGCAGACAGTAATGCTGTATGAAGGTTATGAAAACTTATAATTCACATTGCAGAAAAGCGTATTGCCTTAAATTTGATCTAACAGATGCAGTCTGTATCAGAGTGGAGTGACTCACCAATCAGTCAATACTAATAGCCCTCTCCTACTGCAGGCATGAAATCCTGCCTGGGAGCTGAATGTGGAACATCAGCCGCACACATTTTTAGTCCACCATGCTGGTTCGCCACTTCTTACACCGCCCCGACCTCCAGTACGATCAACAATGTGAGAGCAGCCTCTTATCTGAGGCAGAGCAGCATGCTGACAAGTACACCAGCGTTCTTTTCCTTTCTGTTTTTTTTCCCATGCTGCATGCAATTCATCCATCCGAGGTGACTGTAGACCATGTGTGGTTACATGTAGGCGTCACTGCTGACAAACTGACACAAACCCACACACTGACACATCTACACACACAGACACACACGTAGATGTCTTCAAATTGGCCACCCACCCATCCACCCATGTAGCATACCGCGTGAATGAAACCCTGACAAGTGTTGAGCATCACGGGGGCAAGATGAGAAGGAACTAATGTTCACAGTTCATGTCATTCTATCAGAGGTTTGGTGCATCTGTCAGTCAGTCTGTGCGGCAGAGGCCAACGGGCTAATGCATAATTTCGAGGTGG